TGCGTGCCTTGTTTCCCTAATAATCCCAATGAAGAATAATCCAGCTGTGCCTTCCCTCCTCCCAAGGGCTTCGGTGGAAGCCTGAGATACGTGGCCGCCCAGGGCCCCCTCGAGCACACCGTCACGGATTTCTGGCGGATGGCGTGGGAGCTGCGTGTGTCTGCAATCATCATGCTTGCCAAGTTCCATGAAACGTCGGAGGTGATTTTCACTGAGTCGTATCTATATATAGTTAGATAGATTGATATTTTACCTTGAATGCTTACATTTTTATTTTTTATGTTACACATCAATGTATAACATGCTTTTCACTTCTTTTTCGTGTATTTGTGTTTTACTTATTACACTACGTTTATATAATTTGCGTTGGTCTTATGACAGATGTACCCTCAGTGCCAACTTGCCACATACTTAAGGGTCGGTCCGCCACTGAAAGGTAATGGATACACTATCACGGCCCTCAGATCACGCCTGGAAAAGAATTTCTCTGTGACAACTGTTAAGGTGAAGCCCGAATGAATCTTTATTCCGAAAACACATATAATTAAATCAATACGATCTCTGGCTCTCTCTTTGACAGAGAAGAATTATCAATTATTAACCTCGGTTTTCATACACAGATTGAGCATGACGGATCCACGCGCACCCTGGAGCATTACCATCACATCGGCTGGGACAAAGACACGCTAGATGTTCCAAGGAACCTGGCTGCCATGCTTCGGTGTTTCCTTATCAGGCATAACGAAGGTACTGACTATCAATGGCTGTTCTAGAAATATTAATAAGCCTTTTGAAGTAGCAGAAATATCGGCAAACCATCTACTTAAAACAGTGTCGACTTTAACATTTATATTTGATTTCCTGACTATAATAATGACCTGTGTGTTCAGGTGAAGTGGTGATTCACTGCACCGACGGCCTGAGACGAACCAGCGTAGTGCTGTTGGCATTACTGATGATTGAGTCGATCCTTAGCGAGGGGTGTTTGAGGATCAAGGAGGCGCTCTCGAAAGTGCGGAAATGCCGGCCTGGAATGGTCTCGAAGCAGGAGGATTTCAACCTTGCCCTGGAAATTGTGGATGAGCTTCTGCATGGCACTGCTACTGCCTGCGCGGCCGATGATTTCAACAGGAATTTATCAAAAATCTCACAGGTCATTTACATGCCCTTGAAATGACTTTCTTGTATGTTATCTAGTGATACAAGAAACGGTTTTACATTGCCTCCTGTCGGTAGCCAAACTTCGACTTTGTAGTTACAGGCTGTTCCTACTTCCAGAGTTCGCAGGCGCTGTTCAGGAAGGCCCACGTGCTCGAGTCCATCTCGGTATCCGAGGCAGCCCAGCGGTATCCTGCTTGCCTCGACTTGCACCGATTTCCGAGCATCATCCCGCTTGACACCCGTCGAGTGGTTCTTCAGAGCGAGGATCAGGTCGCCGACGAGAACCTCCATGACGCTGACAGAGACAAAGAGGAGCATGATAAGAAGAGTCTCCAACAGGAAAACGAGGGGCCGTGTGAGGACAGACGCCGTCCAAGTGAAAGTTACATCAACGCTGTGTGGGTTGACAGCCACGACCGACGATTTGGCTTTGTGGTGACCGAGCATCCGCTGGCGGACATGCGGGAGCGGTTCTGGCGACTTGTGGTTCAGAACCGCTGTGCAAATGTTGTCTTTTGCAATGATTATTCCAAGGTTGACGTAAGTACTGCAGATAAACATTGGAAACATTAATACATACACATTTTTTTGTGTGTGTGATAGACGTATAAGGAATATAATAAAGATACCTTACTTCCTTTTTAGCAAGAATTTCCGAATCTCCTGCCAGTAAATGGAGGAGAAATGAACTTTGGTAAATACTTGGTACAAGTGTTGGCTGTTCAAGCACCAGCGAAGCATGTTATCAGATACCAAGTAAATGTCACGCCAAGTCAGGTTCGTATACAATCTGTATTTCATTCACACAAGTGACGTCACTCTTCCATATGTACATTCTATCATTCACACAAACATTACATGTAAGCATGTTTTCATGGACTATATTATTATCACTCTATGCTTATACTTCCTGATCCAAAACAAAGCACGTATCTTCCTTTTTCAGTCACGGAACGCACCTCTGATGGTAACCGTGTACAAAATTACTGCCTGGCCCTTTGGACAGGAGCTCCCAGATTCCTCGAAGGTGGTGGGCGATGTGGCCAACCTGCTCTGTGATGCTCCCTCCATACCCGACGGGGGCCCGACCCTGTTTTGCTGTGGGTGAGATGCCTCTCTCCTTTAGAAAGTCGTGAACATGCTGGGAACTTGTTTTGATAACGTAAAGAATTATTAGTTTCTGACCCATGATTCTCTGAAGAAACTCGTTGGTTCTCTCTCGTTGGAACGTATTTAAATTTATAGAAGTTTTCATTTGCTTTCGCGTCCAGAGACGGTGTGACGGCGAGTGGCTTGCTCGCAGGGACCGTGTGTGTAGTGCAGAGGCTGAGGGACAGCC